TCTTGGAAATCCACAGGGGCAGTTCGACACTAGGGCAGCTGTGGTCGGCATTGGCTCGATGGCAGTGCGTTTGCTTTTTCAGTTTGGCAGCCTCGGGCAATGTAAACCGAAGCATCTAGATGAAACATGGGTTCAAAAGCCACGCAGAAGCTTCGACTTCCACAAGGTTTGTGGCTGGCACAAACAATGGCCAGACGACAGGTGTCTTTTCAGGATGGTTCCTGGCTGGCCGGGAGTGGGCGGATCGCTGTTGGTAACCCACGCTGGTCAACCCAAGCCAGTGGTTCTCAAACCTGAGCAGGTATCAGAAGCTGGAGCACCGGTCAAACCGATGGCCAGGGCCTGCCTGCAGGGTTTCCACTCTGGTGGGTGGGGCGAGTTCCCAGGCAGTCCCGTGTGTGCACACATGGCAGTGGGAGAGCGAGTCTCCCGAGGAAAGCCCTGACCCCTGAAGATCTTGAGGGCCTTGTGTTGCGGGGGTGTCCCCAGCCACCCAAGGTGCTGCTTCTCCCTGACTTTGTCAGGGTGCACATGCTGGTGTCTAAGGTGGTCTTTTAAGAGAGACCGACTCTTCTGGACAATTTCCCTGTTTCCAGTGGATTGTGACCTCCTATGGTAATTCCACCGTGTCTACCCCTGAACAATCCCATTACCACGGAGTCGGTTCTGATGCATAGTGACCCCCATAGAGCAGACTAGACGGGTCCCAGAGAGGGCATCCAAGGTGGGAATGTTTATGGAAGCACACCACCGCAGCTTTCTCCTGAGCAGCAGCTTGTGGGTCCACACCGCTGGCCTTTTGGTGGACAACCATAAGCTTAACCCTTACGCCTTCAGGGTGTGTCTGTCTACTGCTACTGGGGCCCTGATAGCATAATGGTTACACTATGGGCTGCTCACTAAAAGGCCAGCAGTTCGAAACCACCAGCTGTTCCTCGGAGAAAGACGAGGCTTTCAACTCCGGTCAAGTGTCCCTAGTCTACGGTGACCAGATTTTAACATTGATAAAGC